GTTTAAACACTACTAACAAGTATTTCTGTATGCACCAATAGCTTGATTTCCAATGGATTATGTCAAGTCTGACTGACTTTGCATTCAAATGACTCTATTACAAATTATACTTAAGCAGCAGAAAATGTAGAGAAACTCAGAGTATCAGAGAATTCACTCTGATCATGGGAAAGACAGATACACATGTTCAGACAGACAATATGAAAGTTTTAACTGTGAAAAATGACATCAGCAGAACTCTAGTGTCAGAGAACCCACTGCTTTTTGTCTCCCACATGGACCTTTCGTGTCCATGACACACACAAGCTTCAGCTGAATCTGTTCGCATGCAAGAGCAGTCTTTCACACGTATGGTTCCTGCTGTCTAAGACATAGTGCATTTTTTTTCCTTCAAAATAAGGGCATTAACAGGTTGTCTTAGAAACACATGAAACTGGGTAGACAGACTCGCAGCATTCAGTGGTCACCTGTCTAGAAAATGTGGTTGTTACTCAGAAGTTACTGGAGAGAGGATAGATTTCTAGATATGTACATAAGCAATGTGGAAACCTGTAATTTTGTATCAGTGTTTTTGTCACAGAAATGGTTTTGATTTCATTCCAAAAAACTATTCTGGGAAGAGTTAATAGAACAGGCAGCAAATTGAACCACTGCAGCTCCTACTCAGTTTGTGTTGCTTCAGTGTTTGCAGGTCCCAGGGGCTGTATTTATATGACCAAATCTCAGAAAGTTACTTCTACTTGTTTCTTGTTTATATCAGTCCAAGTTTCTTCACTGATGGGCCCAATGAAACATCAAATCCTTCCTAGATCCCTCAAACCTTACCTCGACAGATTTATGTTCCTGGACTTCGTATCAACAGCTTCCTGACACCAAGACATTAAGACAGAAGTTTATGCTAATACTGACCTTGAGGCTTATGCACTTTTTGACTTCACAGCTGCACTCGTAGGAACAGGCTAAACATACCTATAAGCACATTTTGAATAGGTAGAACTGTATTTTCCACATCTGTCTACCTAAAAATGAACCACCACAAACAAAATGGGACAATTCCCAAAATTTCAGCCTCGATTAACACGCAAAAGAGTAATGTAGCAGTCAGGCTGATACAAACTAAACTGAGCTAAATCAGAAATGCACTACTGGATTTTTCTGAAGTTATTACTGAATTCTCCAGTTTTATTTACTATTTCCAATATGATAAATACATTCTTAAACACATGTACGCAAGTATAAAAATGATGAAACGCAATTTTCTTCTTTCTTTTAATCCACCAGATGTTATTACCATGAAAAGAAACACCAAGAACCAAGAGAAGTGCCTTGGAAACCAACAGGGAAATAGAACTTATTACCTTTATAACATATTCCATTGTGAACAAGAGATTTATTTTTGCAGATTGACAGACTACTTCCCATAATTCTTTTAACATGCATTTTGTATGTCGTCAATGGTTTGCAGATTGACATTCTTTACAGTAGCATAACTGCCAGTAGTACTTGATGCTCCATACTTAAAAACACACTTTACAACCGATGTGTAATGCTGCCAAAAATTATGTAAACACAAATATTTCACCAAGAAAATTGATGTTCTATTGCTTAATTCTACAATTTTAAGGAATGTTTGTTTGTATATCTAGAACTACTAAAGATCTGCTCCACAGTAGTTGTGGTCACTTGATATCCTTCATGCTTATGCAATTTTTTAAAAGTTTGGTTAAAACAGACTTGCATTGGGGTCACATTGTACCCTAGGAGTACAAACTGCATGACAAACAGGAACGTAATTCCAAGTAGACTTATTTTTTGGAACAGTGGAGCATGGATTTTGTACACAAACACAAGCTGCCATTAATTTACTTTATATAATAAATGTATAAAACATTCCAGCGAACGTGCAATATGTAAATACTGTAAATAACAAGCGTAAGTAATAAAGTGTTTGGTATTAAGTTGTCCTCAGTTTGCTTTCTGTTCACTGAATTCAGAATTTGATAAATGAGCTATCTTCCGGCTACTATCATTTATCCACACTTAAACCTCTTTCCAGTAAGAGTTTGGTAGAGTAAGAAAGAAAGGTACACCCACCTCAGAGAAGTCCAGTAATTTGGGCACTCTGTGGATTTGTGAGGATGGACAGATCTGTGTTCCAGTCCCACAAAATGCCCAGACCACAAGGCTGCTCCAAGTCTCTGTAGCATTATAAATTTGAATCTTTTTTTATGACAAACAGTTGTTTGGGTTTTTTTTCCAAAAAAATCTGCAGTCTATTCATGATACTGCAAGCAATGTAATCATTAAATGTCCAATAAACCATTTTAGTATCATAAAACTTTTGAGTCAGTGAACGCTTACTCAAGAAGCCTCGATACCCACTTCCCTTTCTTCCTTAAATCAGATATTAAATCCAGTTGTCACAAGAAAATAGCTCAAACAGGAAGAAAATGTTTATGTGTGATCTGTAGATGAACCTCAGGTACTTTCATCTTAATATTGGCATTTAGCTTCCACTTTATCCTCAACTGAAACCACAAAATGTAAAAACAAAACCAAACACCCTTCCCCCACCCTGAGAAATAGCTAGGAGCTGGGATTCTTGAAATTCACGCTTAACAGCCTTCAGCATATAGCTCTTCAGAAGAAAAAAGAAAAAGAATGGACGAAGTACAAAAATCCCATCCTAGAACATGGCTGTATTTAGTAAGGGAGAAGTACCTATTTTGTATTTGCTTTCCATGGTCACTAAATGCTAAAGTTTCATTTCTCAATGGAAGGAATACACGTATACCGAAAACTTGGTAGTTAAAGGAATCTACTGCTACGGGATTCACTTAGCTGCTCATCTGCAGTAAACATGTGGGTGGAACTCTGTGCTTCTCTGTGGTTCCACTGACTGAAATCAGATCACAGCATATTACTTAACATGGGAGTTTAAATGAGTATAAATCTTTCTTTTTGTAGTAGGACACCTGAAATCTGGTTAAATAAAAACTTTCTAGAAAATTTCCTTGTAAAAGGAAAATAATAGTTTATTTAATGACTTAATAAATTAATGTAAGTAAATTAATCCCATGGAAGTTTTCTCTAGATTTAGCAGAAGTGAGCATGCTTTGACAGAAGATACAACTATATGATAGCAGATTTTTTTTATTTAGTCTTAGGTATAAGCTTACTACTAGATTCCTAAGCCTAGTGAAGGTAAACAACCATACCGTTTTTATCTCCTCTCTGTTACCCCAGCAGCTCAAAGATAAAGATTTAAGACTTTTAAATCTTAACTTTAATAGGTAAAATTGAACTATAGGTTCAATTCCTACTCATCCATGAATGGGAAAGCACAAGCCATCGCATTCTCAATCTTCTGAGTTATTTTACTTTCACCAGAATATTTTAAATGGTCATTCTGGCAGATAGTAACACTAGATTACACCTAAATACTTCCACTTCTGAGGTTAGTGCATAAAACCACATTTGAGGTGGTTTGTCCTTAACTGCACATCATTTTCCCTCATTTATTTTGTCAAAGCATTCATAAAAGAAATGGAAAATGATTTTTTCCAGAGTCAGTGCTTGATCTGACCTGCAATGTTATATATATTACTTTTTGTCCCTGAAGTAAAACAGCTATTAACTTGCGAATTTGTAGCTTGTTCTTTAAAAGTCAAAACTATTGGTAATGCAATAATGCACAAAGATCTTGATTTCTGTATTTAAGTGTTCCATCTACCACTTGCCTTTTTGTAAGCAGGTTCTTAAGTTTTCTGTCTGAAATTTTAGCACAAAACAGGAACCTCATTAACACAGGCACAGCTGTCCTACAGTACGAGTCCCCGGAAACTTAATCCCCGTTGTCCAGGCTGCAGAATATGCAGAGTGATACCAGGATTCCTCCCCACCCCAGGAATAACAGGGTCCTCTATCGAAATGCATCCCTCTCCCAGAAGGGAGAGTGGGTGACAAATACAGAGGCTACTCTACTAGTTTGGAAGGCAGAAAGAGGCAAAAACAAGGCTAAATAAATAAGAAAAAGTTTTACAAATCCAGTTTTACAGCTAATGTGGTAAAGCTAGTTCATACCAATGTTGGTATTATTCAAAATAGGGAAATTATCATGGTATCAGTTACAATTACTGATCTCAGTACATTTACGTTTCTAAGGCAGAAATGAAAGGTGATGTTCAGACAAACAGGCATGGATTTTTACAAAGCATTCCATTTTTGTCCAAGAGCAGAACTTACTACTTCCTGGCCTTCTGTTACCTTTGTATTATATTACAGATGGCCTGTCTTCAGGTTGAACTATACTCTCAGAGCACACTTTTAACAGGCTATCCATTCTTCTGAGTAAATCTGAAAATACTGTCACCCGCACAGGAACTGGGATTACAGCACATTTCTCATTGATTATATTGCATGGATTTGAGTATTTTACTACTATGAGATACCAAATGTACATTTCACATTTAGGCTTTTAAGCTGACTTGTTTTGTCCTCAAAGTAAATGCTATGTTACACGTACTTGTATCAGTGTGCTAGGAATTGACCAAAAGACCGAAGGAAGACTAGCCAGAGAAGTCCAGTTAACATCAATCACTATTTCTGAACTGAGTTCATCTTAATTAGTATAAAAGTCTACTAGAACAAAAATTATTTCTTCTTTGAATAACTGAACATTTAAACTGATATAAAAACCCATTTTCACAGGATCCTGATGACACACACAGAGGTTTTGCTCGCTTAAGCTTTGAAATAGCGCGAAGAGCAATGTCTGTCTGGGGGCAGGCAGTTCTTTTAGTCTAGCAGGCTCAATACGAAACAGTTTCAGTCCAAAGGCTGTCTCATAGTACTAGGATGACATGCCTAAGTTACCATACATGAACTACTGCCTCGCAGACTCCCACTGAAAGTTGCTTTAAATTAACTCACTAAGGGCACATTGAGAAGACCTCAGTTTAGTTAGTACAGCACATAAAGAAAGAAGACATTACTTTTGCAGTGCTTTGAGAAAGCACTGGAAGAGTTTACAGATCAATTTATTCTGAATGATATACTTTATTATTACATTGATGTGTGACAAAATGGTTGATTACCTAACCCAATTTAAACGTTTCTGTGTTTTTTAATTAGATGACAGAAAAGCTAAAATATAAAATTAAACTGAAAAAGTTTTGAACCTACTGAGGCATAATTTTACAATTTACATACATCAATCAAGTAAACCTTACGTATTTCAGGAGAAGCTAATTATTTTCTTTTAGAAATAAAATGATGAAGCATTAGTGACACTTCTCCAAAAATGCTTTACAGCATCTAACACACTGCTCGTAAACAGTTTCAAAGTCCTTTTCATTCCCCTAGAAAAGAACAGAGGAAGAAGAATGTAAGAACAGCAATACTGACTCAAACATAAAATTTTTGCAGTTTCCCGCTGTCAGGAATGGCAAATAACTGACACTGGGGAAAAATAAGAACAGTACAAATACTTCATGGCAGTTTTTGCGTATTTCTCCCTAATTTGAACTACCTGCAGCTAAGGAATTTCCACAGCCAAACACTGTGACTTTGTACTCAACAGTCCTGGATGAACTGTCCTTCACGTATTTCTTCCATTCACTTTTTGAGCCCTTACAAGCCTTGTCTTTTTTTCTTTACATTCCTGGTAACCTGGCATGTTGAGTTTCACAGTTAAATGAAGCACTGTGTGGGAAAAAACCTAAACACACCTATTTTTGTTTTGAACCCACTTCCCACTAATGCCACTTGATATTCTCTACTTCTTGGGTAATGAACAGCAATTCCTTATTCACTCACCTTCTCCCATGATACCATGATTTTATAGAACCCTACTGCATCTTCGTCCACTTCTCTTTCCTAAACCGAAGAATCTTAATCTAATTGATTGCTCTTGGCTGATATTACTCAACTTCTTTGACCATCCCTGTCCATGTCTTTGGACATGGACAAAAGTCTTTGGCTTTTGCTCAGCCAAGGAGGCTGAGCAACCAGGGCTTCACCCAAGACTGAAAATATAGGTGCATTACATTATTTAAATTTAAATAATCGCTACAAGCATAAAGACGTGTTTTCCTTTCCTATCCCATGAATTTATATTGTTTTGTTAAGTCATTTTAAAAAAATATGTTTACACTTGGCTTTATATAACATCAGATTATATGTCACATGCCAACTGTGGGATCTGGAAAGGTTATATACTATACTGACACAATTTTTAATCAAGCCACCCAGAGAATTTCTTACACATACATAGTATGGATCTTCAATGATAAGTTGTTTCTGTGGATCGTAAGTTCCAAGTAGTTCAATTTTGGCCTTGCAGTCTTTAACTTGGTTGCTTTTCCTTTTCAGATCTCTGTAAAAGAGAAAATAAAATTTTCCCATTAATTTTTCTTCAGAACTTTTTTGGCATCAGCTCGAGATGCTCATGACTGTTTCTAGAGAATGCAGGAAAATAATATGCATCCGGACTCAGTCAATTCTGTAGACTCTATACTGCTGCCTGTGTTCGTTTTTTTTCTTGTTGTGTGGGGTTTTTTTAATTGAGTATGGACGACATATACATAAACTTAATTCAGAGCATAAAAAAGCAGTCAGGCACTCGACCTAAGGCTTAACTTTGTAACAGTAAGTTCATCAACTTCTTCCTCAAATCAATCAGTAGCACTTTCAATATCCACCTTTAGTTTGTATTGAACCAAAATAATGAAAATTATCTAGATATTTTTCCAGAAGTATGAGTAAACTTCTCCCATCTTTTCAAAACCACAGTTTTAAATTGGTATGCTGCAAGATCTCTCAATACTGCCTCTAACTCATGTGAAGTCCTACTACATTCAGTTAACAGAAAATGGTAAATCAGTGAGCAAGTCCTGTCTTCCCTTTGACATGCTATAACATTTCATCAGTTGTCATGTCCTCTTTCTTCTACATTGCCTCCCATTGATAAAACATACTATTTTACAGCTCATATCATATAAATTGTTAATACAGAACTATGTCTTCATTTAAGAATTCAAGTGAAAATAGAAGTAAGCCTAGTCATGTCTTTGCCTGACACACTGCAATCAGGCCAAGTGTTATACACCCTTCATTCATGCAGGATGTGTTAAGACAGGTCATTCAAAACATTCTAGAAAATTCAAGAAAATGGTACTTCTTTCAGTTAAGTGGTGCTGCTTCTAAAAGTCTTTACGTGCTACTAATAGGATTTTATTTGGGTTTTGTTTTGTTGTTGGTTGTGGTGGTTTTGGGTTTTTTTAACTAACTTTAAAAGTAACAGTCCTTACACTTTGACACTTGGTAGTTTACTACAGCTCAGCCCTTTAACCCCAATCAACAACATGTAATTAAGTAGAAATTTTGCTAATGATGCCCAAATTTTCACACTAGGCAGCTACTTCACCAAATCTTTCTTAAGCATAAATTGCCTCAAAGATGCACTTAATTAGAACAGAGCTAACAGTAACAAACAAGATTTCCCCCCGCTAACCACCTTACTTATCTCAGAGCTCATCCTATTCCTATTAAAAATGAAAAAACCCACACCATATTTAACCCCTTCCAAGTTTCCACAGTGTATTTTAGATCCCATGCAATCAGAAAAACAGATCACTTTGATCGAAAGACAGTACATCCTCATTCTTAACTATACAGACATCAGCTGCATATCTATAGCACAAAGTATACTAAATTTCCACGTCCTTAATCCTTGAGTGGCATGTATCACACAAACAAACCATTGAATTGTAGCTCATTAAGCATATCAGAAGTAAAGAATCTATCTATTAGGATATCATTCACACACACATACAAAAAAACCCCAAACCCCCCAAAAAACCCAAGACAAGCTAAGCAGTAAAACGTCACATCTGTCTTCAAAGTGATTTATGAGACATCACTACAAGTAATCCATATGAATTTGTTCTGTTTCTTCATACATTACCTTAGATTGCTCTCATCCATACATAGTATATAATCAAAGGTCTGGAAATCATCTTTAGTAACCTGCAATTAAAAATATGTGCTTTAGCCTACAAACTGGTTTTGATTTATAAAAAGGGGAAAAAAGTATTTTCAAATTTTGTAGTTCTGATTTATTAAAAGAGACACAGGTGGGAAGAATAAAACTGTGTAGCTTTATCAACTTTTATAATAGTTTAAGGCATTTTAAATATACTCTGCCATGATTATTTATCCATTTCTGCAAGTTTTCCACAAAAAAACCCAAGTTAGCTATTTTACCAATACTCTTTTTTTTTAAAACATCTCATGCATCAACTTAGAAACATCATTACAAGTGACATTTCTAATGCTTTCCAATTACTAAAACTAAAGCAGGTTTCCAGTCATAGAAACCATGCAATAAAAATGTAGACAAATTACTTTCCTCATAGGAAAACAAAAATGTAGGTGACCTGGAATCAGTTGCAATACTTCCAATCCAGAAATTTGTCACTACACAGAAAAAGATACCAAGTGAAATTCTAAGCTGAAGTATGATGGTATGACTTACAATCTCTTAAAAATAAATGCATGCATAGTAATTTAGGACATATAAGTTCAAAAAAATCATGATATGATGTGAGAAAAAACTGGGATCTATTGTATGTCTTCCTACCATCATACCATCCTTTCTTTTTCTTTCCTGTAGCTTACTGACTCCTAAACATCAATACTAACTAAATTCAGAGATCCAAGTTCCGACTTGGGTAGGCAAACATTGCAGATAAACCACTAACTTAAGTACTCATGTTATCTGTATTGGAATAAGGATGGCTGTAGAGTTTTACCAGTATAATTATGTTAGTTTACATTTAATGTTAGTTTACATTTAAGCCTTAGCTTAGGGTAAAATCTTCCCAGACTCCACAATGCACAGTATGCTACTGTAAGATACCTGAACCAAGTGTCAATAATGAGGATGAATAAATGGAATAAAATCTATAGTGAGTTCACATTAAGACTGCATTTCACACATAGTCCTATGTGTAGTATCGTAACCAAGAAACTTGGAAAGTTTGTTCAGTACAAGTTTTCTTGGTAGGCATCTCTGGGAAGGATGGGCTAGAGAAGTGAGTAAGCAAGTAAACAGACAAAAAGGCAAAACATATTATTCTAGAAGTCAGAGTTTTAACCTGTACAAATTATTTTACATATTTAAAAAAAAAATGTACATAGCAAAAAACCACTTATTTTTTGTGTAAACAGTAGATAGACACTGATTAAGCTCCCATAACAGCAAGTAAGAAAAGATCTATAGAAATTATCACCAGATTAAAGCCATAAATCAAACATTCCACACAAGGAGAATTGGAGGGGAGGGTGAGGTGTGTGTGTGGGAGCATTCAAAAAGAAAGGGTTAATGGTGAAAACTAATGCAGACTTGTTTATTTTCACTGTAAAAATATTTGCTGTATTCATGCAGTGCCTTTGACCTACAAAAATATTTTTGCAGTGGAAATAGCTCTGTTTTCCTGGCAACTGTAAGCACTACTTCTACAAGCTGCTTCTGGTTGCTCTACACAGCTAAACACAGCCCCTGTGAAAATATGTGGGCATAGATTTCTTTGTAGTACGGACATATGTAAGAATAAAATAAAAAACAGTGAAAAGGAAAAACACACCTTCCACACTTCCCACTCTCTCAGTGTACTTGACAACTTGACAGTTATTATCCTACAAATCAGCACTAACACAGACACAAATGCAGCCCTAAAAACAAGATTACTCGTTGGCTTGTGCTCTTAAGCCCTAAAGGGATATCAGATACAAAGAGCTTAATTGAGCAAACTCCAAAAGCTTAATTGAGCAAACTCCAGTGAACTGACTATATTCCTCAAAATAATGAAAACTAGTACTTTGGGGGAAGAAATTGAGCACATGAAAATTTATGTACATTTTGAGAAGAGTAGTGGAGAGCTCAAATAGTCAACACTGGATGGAACTACACAGACAATAACTTTACATTAAAAAAATGCATATAACCATTATGAAAGACCATCAATAGAGAAACACATCATCATTCCAACTTATTCGTTATACGTTTCCCTTTGTTTACAGAAGGGAAATCTCCTTTTCTCTGTCCAAAACCCAGAGATGCAGTAGTCCTTAAATTTATCCAGTTGTGAAACAGTGTTTAATACAACCTTCCTCTAATCTCAATTTCATATTTAAGGCAAATGCACAGTATGACTCATACAGAAATCAATTTACTGGCCTCAGCATGAATAAAAGTGAAACTGATTAATACCTATCTGTTTTGTGCATGAAGACTAACAGCATAAAGAATTTCAATGCTGTATGCATAAACATACAGCAACCTACCATCAGCTAAAACATTAACAAACTTTATTTTATATATAAATATATATA